CCCTTGTCGCAGGGAAGGTGAACCCGCCCCAGGCGCCCCTGCCTGTCCCAGCGCCGGCTTCTTCGGGGACCCCCGGCCCAGGGCAGTCACCCCTCGCGGCGCCAACACCACTGCGGGCCCCGCGGGGCCGCCAAGCGCCGCTTCCCCCGTGCCCAGCCAACGAGACCGGCCCTCGCCTCCCACCCGCAAGCCGTGCTCCCTGAAAGCCTTTCTGCTGCTCTGCACGGCTTCCCCTTAACCCCCTACCCCTGCCTGAAAGGGAAACACATAAAGGAGACCTGCCAGGCCCCGGTGCCCACTCTGCAGTCTTGGGCCCCCTTGGACCCCTCTGTTAGAACAGGTGCATTTCAAGGAGCACCTCGCCTCGTCCATCCCAGCAAACTCCCAAAGGGAGAAGGGAACAGTTGAATATGAACCTTAACACTGACATTGGAAAGGTCACTGGGGCACAACCCCAGGCACTGGGAGACAGCTGGGGACACCCGATTAGGACCCAACCTTAGAGAGATCTCTGACTCTCCAGTCTCCATGTTTTGATTATTTTATTTTTAAATTCACTGTCTGTCAGTGGGCCTGCACTTCAGGACAGGCCTCTTGAATATATACAGGCCTAGCAAGAGTAACACTGAACTCAAGCAAGGTGTCTGGGCACTGCAATACAAACAACATCCTGGTATTAAAAACTCATGCTCCTTTATAGCTTTGTGATTATGATCATAGCAATTGGTTTTGCTGGACTTCAGTGCAAAAGATACTGGTTTGTGTAGTTACCCCTTCCTCCCTTTATTTCCTCCCCTATAGCTTTGTTAGTATAACATCAAGCTATGCTTTCAAATGAGAAACTTGTCGGTAATTTATAAAAACAGCAGAAACCACCACCACCCAAAACACCTGCAGGAAAACAGTTCCAGCATAAGTTCTGTACAACCTGCCTTGCTCTAAACTGCAGTGCTACAGGTAAATTTGTCTGTTACAAAAAGCAAGTAGAGCTCTGTTATGAATATTGCATTCTATTAAATTCTACAAATTGGGATTAGACTAAGACTATTACGGACCTGAGCTCCTATTCTAGAGAGAATTTGCACAAATCCCTCTTCTTGTACTTAACAAAATATTTATTGCCACTGCTGAAGGTAAGCCACCAGCTGTTGTATGTTTCTGATTGATCAGTCAGTCACAGATCTTTTCTAAGTGTTTCAGACTTAAAAATCAGAACTGACACTTCTTATCTGAAAAACACCCTAAAGATAGGCTGCCTTCTAGAACATTCTGCCCTCCTGTAATGAGAAGCATTCGGAGAAATATAATTAGAATCACATTATTTTACATATACTGTGGCTTCCAGTTATGCAACATGTTTCTTTCTTTATTCATGCTGGTTTATGCTGTATATTCTAAATCAGTTTAATCTAAAAATACAAATTCCAACCTGCTCCCCAATCCTCACCCCTGCAAGACAACTAACAAAAGCCAAACAAGCCAACAAAGTCCTTGTTTGTCTAGTTTTCTTTATATTAGCGAGATTGGAATGTGGCTTTAAAAAGTGGTAAGGGTCAGAAAT